ACAACTCTGCTGTGCGAGGTGAGTTGTAAGAAGCTTCATCGCTATTGCTGTTATGATGGTGCACGAAGAGTAGTGATTGATGTGGAGTATGACGCGATAAATTTACTTCTGTGATAGTTATCACTCGTACAGACCAGTCCCGAGATTATTAATAGGGCTAGTAATTAATCCGTGGCATGCCTATCGATATTGGGTGAATCCTAACACCAGCCCTAACAACGAGCCACTCCGCTTTCCATCCGTGACGGGACGATAATGCATGTCAGAGGGCAATTAAACAGCTGTCAGAACAGAGCGACGAGCACGGAGGAGTGGGCTGCCATGGTCTCAGACGAAATGAACAGCATTGTTTACCCCGGTGCGTCTAACGGCGGTAACTCGGCGTGAAGCGGCCGCCGGAGACGAAACACGCACGAAAGGGAAAGTCGCGCCGGGTCGTGAGCAGGTCTGTTTGCGTGCTGCCGACGCATTCCTGGCACGTCCAGAACAGACTTGTTTGCCGTTTCGGCCCGTCTAGAGAGTCAGACTGTTTGCCTACGTGCTGGAAGGTGTCCGCCCCTAAAGGACCCTTTCTCCTCAGAAAGCGCGACATCGGTCAGTGCTCGAGTCGCACAGCGTGGCCGAAGGCACCGAGACGTGCCCCAGAAGTTACGGCGGCATCCAGCACCTGTGCCGGGCGTTGACTAATCCTCATTCCTCAGTAAACGTTCGTAGGTATATCGGCTGAACATCGGGCTTCTGAATTCAGCCAATCACCCCCGTGATGCCAGATGGGGCGCCTATCGGGCGGACCTGGCGCACCTCACTGGGAAATCTGCTCGACGAGCCGCCGCGGAAAGGAAAAGTGCGTCTCCCCGACCATCTGGCGCGCGGTCCACCACGTGAGAATGACACCGTCCGTTGTGAGCCACTCTGCGGGGCGGGGCGCAGACAAGACACACCATCTGGCGCCGACACAGGGCCCAGTGGAAGCTGTTATGTCAGCGCGATTTCGGTAAGCTAGCGACTTGTGTGTTATCGTGTTTGACTTCATGTAAAAGACCAACATAAAACAAGCCGACGATGATGAACACTAAAACCTATCGTTTACATAGGATTTGGTCGGCCCGAGAGCCACTCCCCCAAGTGAACCTTTCAGGGGCAGCTGGGTCACGACATTCCCCCCTCCCCGTGACCCACCCACCGTGACACCGTGGCCACAACCGTCGTGACGTTTCCGTGACAGGCTGCGTCACGGCCGGTGAGACTCCCCCAGTCAGTGAGTCACGGATCGCACGTGAGTGGCACTCCCGACCACTCGGGAGGGGCTCCAGCAGCACTACGACCCCACGAGGCCACTCAAGGTCACACTAGCTGCCATTATAGGTCTGTCTCGGCCGGATGTAGTGGCGGTATCGCGTCATTTCTGAATGAAGCATGACATGCGGTGGCTCTGCGGTTAGGAAGACGAGCGGTAGTGAACGATATGATTTTGATTGCTCTATCCTGTGAGTATGGGGTAGATACATGTCACATCGTGCTCTTGTTATGCGTGTGATCTTTCCAGACGTGAAATATGAACGAACTTATGATAATAAGCCATCGTGTACGTCTCTAAAATGTGATTTCTCAATTGGACATTCGAGATGTCTATAAGGCACGATGTGTTTGTGAAATAAACATCCAATGCTTCTGAAAGCGTAAAACAATTTCCAACATACCCTAGGGTAGTTTACAAACTACCAACCTCTGGGAGATTCTTTAGACCACAGGCACCCAGCGACCGTGGTTTCTCCTCGATTTAAATGAAAGCTGACGAATGCCAGCACGGCCAATATCGTTCTAGCCGTGACCGCACCGCATACCTAATCGTTAGCTGACCATAAGCATATCAATGGCGACCTGACACGGGGCGACTGACCATTAAACAGCGTGTGCACTCGACGGAACGACGGTCTGACCAGTCTGAGACCTCCGACATTGCATCATCACGTACGATGCTGCAATCGGAACATCCCGACACTAAAGTGGAACCTCATTTACTGCTTAATGACACGTTACGGGTCTAATTCTATTAGCATATTAGACTGTTCATGTGCGGTACCATGTCCGACCGGTAACTGCTCCAGGCTAAACGCCGTGCATTTTTATGGTCAATTTTAATGACCTCTCGAATAGACCATGTCTCAAAAATAGTATGGTGGTTGAAAGAAAGTGGCACACGTTGTAGATCACAAAGACTTCAAGGGACTGCACAGTGCCCATAGCTCGAATGATATTTTCCAGGACGATATTTGCCGTGACTTTCGTGGCTTCAAGATTGTAAGTTAACTGCTCAATGTTAGAAACATCGAGTGTTTCTTCAGTACGTAAGTGTTTGCATTACAAATATACGAACAGAGTTTTAGATGAAATCGCATTAAATTTACCCGTGATTAAAGGGACAGTATCATCGAAAAAAAAGTCAATGTATGGAGCTGACTTTTTTTTTACTAGCATTTCTTATTTTTCTGAATCAGAAAACATAGTTTGAGGACCGAACTCGGTGAAAAATATTGCAACCACATTTCATTTTCATGATTCATTTTCATGAGCGAACCACCACTATACAAGCATGGCCGCCAGTTTGGAAGCATGCAAAATTACTACAGAACTGGCGCAGATAATACATTATTGACGCTACGCTTACGCGGTCGTTCTTCTGATTGAGTTGTCCTTAGGGAGAGGTAGCCTTAGGTATTGCCTATAAAAATATCACGTGACAATTGGAGGGAGTGACAATTGGACGTGACAATTGACAATGGGAGAAAATATCACGTGACAATCACGTGATAAACGTCATACATTGGAGGGAGATTGTGATTCAAGCTGGAGGAATTCCTTTGTTGAGCCGCTAGAATCCGAAGGAAACAGCGGAAATTGCCTACGACTATTTAATGAATTTAACGGTGATGAATAAGTGCGAAAAACGTTTTGGCTTTATAAAATTTGATGAAATGACCAGGGTAAAAGTTTTATTACTGGCGGTCAATTCAAAACGGCGCAAACATTTAAACAGTGAAGATAGTGAAGCACGATTCAAAGTGTAGTACACCTTTCGTACTTTGAGCGGCGATAGCGGGATAACGGTGTGGAGCTTCGAGGATCGGTCTTCAGTTCCCGGACCAGAAAGGTGGGGCCTATGCAATGTCAAATTTCATCAAAATGGTGATACTGTCCCTTTAATACCACATTGTCGTAAGCACACAAGAACACCAATTCAAAATAAAGAACAGTGTCGAGATTGTCCTCGCACATGCACAGGCCAGGACAAACCTGCTGTTCTGACCATCAAATGAAACACCAAGACTTTCAGAGACATGAACGATTCAGGGTGCATCCACGCGTGCAACCCCCCCCCCCCCCCCCGCCATGATACTGTGACCGTTGATCACCTGACCCGAGCCACTGTACCCGCCGACCACCGGTACTGGCTCAGACGATCACAGTCTGGCTGCAGCAGTCACTCACTCTCAGTCGCAGTCACCGTGACGGCGACACGCCCTGTAGTTGTGGGTAGCAGCCCGGTGGAGTGGCGGGGCGGGGGCGGGGGCGGGGGAGGGCGCGTGACCGTCCCATGGGGTCACGCCCCCGGCGCCTCCGGGCGCCCGGCAGCGGAAGAGCGGGCCACACTACTGACACCATGTGAGGGAGGTTTGGTGAGGATGTTTTGTAACCGGCCACTGATGGGTCTACCGAGGAGCGGTGATGGCAGTTTGTGGTCGCCGGCGGCGGTTTTGCAGACATCGTATACCATCCACGGGCCGAATGAGGGTGGCACGGGGCGCAGATCGCCCACGGTACGCGGTTTTATGGGAATGGAAGCTCGAGAGTGGCGTATTTAGCAATATCAAGTTGCATAATAGTTGATGGAATTGAACAGAGGATAATAACCAAACAGAAGCATCAGATGAGATTTGTGCCGTCCCGCAATAATCGAGTGGTTACGCAAACATTGGAGTCAAGGTTTATACGCTTCATTGGGTACGATGTCAGTTCGTACACCCCCTGCGCGTTGCATTTTGCGGGTACTTCTAAACATATTTCATGTTGATTTTGCTGCATCGTTTTTAAGACAGGTGGAAAAACTTGATCTAGTTTTTATCGCTCCATAACAACAGTCACGGACAACTATACATATCCATAATAAACGATTAACTATAATTTTGTATATTTTTTGTTCTCTGAGATAGTACATGAGATGAGAGCACATTCTATGTACTCTCATACGTTACATGCCACAATACACCGATCTGTAAAGTTGACCTCATCAGTTCAGATTGACAACGATAGAAAATATACGGTATGACAAAAGATGTCTTGCATAGCGCATTGTTTCTCCAGTGATATATTTGTAATCATTGGAAGCTGATCGATGACATATGGCGAGATTGATAACATCGACAAGAACTGAATAAATGACATGCTCATTTCAGACTTTAAGAATGAAGCCGAAAAGCTTTTGTATATTGCGCAATATAAGTGCTTTAGAAGCTTAACCGCGATATAAGAACCTAGACCCTCAGTAACGTCAAGTTTTTTTCTTCTTTTGACGACAGCGATTCAAAGCTAAATACATATTTTCTTTTACTTGAAAACTCCTTGTACAACTTGCTTCTCATAGCTTTAGTAGGTATTCCGAAAATGGGCAGCTTCGGTAACATGTGACAGTTGCTTATAATCATGACGTACGAATACAATTAAAGGTATTGCCATCACATTGGCCTTAACTGAACTCCTTCCTTTTACCTTATGACTTTTTTTTGTATAATTTCGATCCCGTTGCATAATAATTGTAATAACCTATCGAAACGATTTCTGTACCTATTTAGTATTTACTGGTGGATCACATAAAACTCAACCGAACTTTGGAAAAAGAGGAGGAAAACCAAGTGTTCCAAACTACCTTTGGAAAATACAAGGGACCGAACCGAGATGACCGAAAAGCGAAAGAAGTGTCCCGACAATCTGCAGCGACTTACCCAGTGCAGTGTCTTCATGGCTCCTCCGTTGAGGCGTCTCGCTGTCCTCTATCAGCCGGTGCCCCGGTGCTCCTCAGAGTGTGGACTGTGGACGAGTGTGGACGAGCGTGGACGAGTGTGGATTGTCCGCTGTCCGACTGTCCTGTCCACCGACCAGCAGCAGACTGACTGTGACCAGCTCAGGCCGGCGTCGGCAGATGCTCCCTGGAGGAGGTGCCCCTCTCTCCCTCTCCCGGGAGCAGGCGGGCGACACTTTCTCCCGGCCGGCCCCCTCGGAGCGTCGGGGAGCGAGGCCGGGCGAGTCGACGATATGGACGAGCGTAACGAGGGAACGACGCCGAGGGAAGGACAGGAGGAGAAGGACGTGGGAAAGATAACCCGAAGAAGGAGCACAATGGTCTATTATCGGCTGGGAAACAATTACACTGAACAACAAAATTTGACTTTTGTCATAGTACAGAAAGCAGAATACCCAATTCTGTGGTAATTTGTGACGCTGAACACGAATCTGGCATCAGAAATGGCGTATCAGGCTAGGTTTTTGAGATCCAGTATGTCTGTGTATCTGCTCTGAATGGCTGTTTTCAACATTTCACTCTTCCTTTATATGACATTGCCGGTGACTCCGTAGGAAAAAGCTTTAAGTCTGGGGTAATTTAGGATGCAAAATACGAATCTGGCACTAGAAATGGTGTATCGTGTTAGGTTTTGGCATTACAGTGTGTTTGCGTCCTTTTCTTAGGTGCATGTACGGCAGCATGTTATTCTGTCGTTATATTACATGGCTAGTGATCCAATTTACTTTCGACAATCAAAATATTGGTGATATCGTAGGTATGGTTGTTAATTTCTTGAATGTTAATCGATGCTATACAGCACACTTGGGGTAAGACACGGCAGATTTACATCACCCTTTAAGCACAAATATGGAGACCCGGTGAGCCGTCCGCACGTCACCGTCGACACGACACTGAGAATGTCGTGTCGACATTCTCAGTGTCAAACACAAAGTGTTTGAAATGACCAAGGCTATAGAACTAGGAAATGACCAAAAATCTTGCCTGTGTGGTCGAGAGGTAGCACAGATGGATGACCATACCGTTGGTTGATTGCACTTTGCCGTGATTGTACAATATGTGATTACCTACATTGCGCTGTGATGTGTGATATACATTTCTGTTCCAACAAATTCAATAGTTTTGTGCTCATCTGCGTTGCCTGGCTGTGGTAAATATGGATTAAAAAGATATATAATCTAGATCTAAGGATATCTACAATAGGCCAACAACAATGCATAAAAAGTGAGAATTTAAGGCATCAGTATGTGCCAGACAAAAAACTGAGCCCGATGGGGCAAAACGGTGACCAGATTTGGAATCAGCGGCCTCGAATTAGGTAGAAACGAATGCTCACCTCTCTGTACTTTTTTGGCTGTTGATCAGTGTTATTGACGACGAGATATGTAGAGATGATGATCGGTGAAGGATAGTGGAAAGCGACGGGGATAGAACAACCAATAATGCGTGGAACAGCGACGCTGAAAAGATGACGTTAGAGTGACGCCTGGCTGACCGGGGCACACACTGATAAATAGGGTGCTGATTATCGCTCGCCGGCCGAGGGGGGGGGGGGGGCGGGTGCCGCCCCCCATAGGGTTTTTTCGCGATAGCTCCGAACACGTTGGCGATAGAGAGCTGAAACTTGACATACCTGACCATTGATTCAAGCCGGATCTTTTGACAACAACCGCATTTTTAGGTCAGGTCAGGTCACTGACCTATGACGTCATAAGTGAACCTCTGCACGGTCTTCAGATGTCGCAACTTCGCAACGCCCTCACTGCCAGAGGAGATGTCACAGGGAAATGAAACTTGCAGGATCTAGTATCCATTATGAGTCTCACAACTTGTATATCTCAGATTTTTCCTAAAGGTCATATGAGGTCAGGTCATTTTCGTGACCTCACCATTATAAGTCAATGGGGAAAAATGAAAACTGCTATTTTGGCGCCGGGAACGATCTCCAACTATCTCAAGCACACAGAATCGTGATTTGATGCACTCCTTGCAAGGTTAGATGCGTTACTTTTGCAATGTTGACCTTGCGTGACGTCATTTATGACGTCATCAAGGTCATATTATTTTTTCGTCAATAACTCTTGATCAAATTGAGCTAGCGAGTCGGGGAAGCCACCAATGGACTCAGGAAGACCTGCCGAATCGAATGATATGCGACATGACCTCTTTCGACCAGTTTCGTGACCTGGGGGTGCTGACCTGACCTTGACCTGAGTTCAACACCCCAAATTGACCTGAACCGAACAAAGAGTATACCATTTGACGTGCCTGAGCGAGGCAAACACAATGCTGCCAAAATCGCGGCTCTGCGGCCGTTTTTTGCGAAGCTATTCACCAAAAACTGAACCGTACCTTGGGGCACTTGACCTGACCTCAGAGGTCACCGGTTGACCTAGGACCTTAAAATCGGGTACCAATCTCTGCGTCTCGTAACGGCACACACGCTCGTTTTTTCCGCGACGCGCTAGCTCCACCAGGGGCGAAACGGCGAGGAGGGGGGGGGTCGTACCCGCCCCCCCCCTCGGCCGGCGCTGCTGAGAAAACCAATAGGTCCGGCGAGGGTTATAGCAGAGACATTCTACGATGAATCAGTTTCAGATCCGTCACTCGAATTGGTTAATTAATTTATCATTATTATTATTATTATTATTTTGCTTTTCGTGTTATATTTCGCCCAATATGGCGTAACCAAGTTCGCAGCAAATGACACCATCGGTGTGGCAATGCCACGAATTGAACAAATGGAGTCTGAAGGTCTGGGCCGGAGTTATTTGTCACGCGTATCCTGGACAGAGCCATCTTTACCGAGAACGGCGGGCTGTTATTGGGCTGTGCTCGAGGCTAGCGTACAAAACATCTGGTGCATTACACCAGGCTAGAACGTCGTCAATGATTGTAAATAGCAAAACGCTGTAAAGAATTATAGGTCCCGCCATAAATGCTAGGTTACTGCAAGAATGGCCTACTTTTGGCCAGCTTCAATTCGTTTTTTTGTGTGCTGTTACGATGAATGTGGGATGTCGATTATATATGCGTTATACCTATTAGCCGTTTTCACGACGGGCTATCCGGCGAGTGCACCTAATTTGACCAAATCTGCACCTAATCTCTTTTACAGCAAATATCTTCATTTTATGAATTTATTTCAGTGTTTTAATCGATGATACTCTCTGATAATATGACAAAGCAGGAGTATAAGCCATTAGTGCAACCTATAGCTGAATAGCTACTAGGAGACACACTGAACCTAATTTGACCAAATCTGCACCTAATCTGCACCAAATGTGCACCAAATGTGTACTAGATGGCCGTCGTGAAAACGGCTATTCCATTCTTATTCAGTGACGTTAATTGTATTTGCCACGTGTTTGCACACCGGTGATAGATTTATGCGAAATGTGCATGCACTATTCTATTACTGATTGCACGCACATAACAAACGCATTATATGAACCGACACTGAGGGCACTGAATCAATATTACCATCTAGTCCACTGAACCTAATGATTGACATTCACATCGTCCATTCAAGGCGCTGTAATGAGGCGTTTGGATGAATCAGTAATGACTAACAAGAGGCGGGCTAGGCTAAACTTGGAATTGAAAGTAAGCCGATATTTGATTGAATCTACTAACAACCAGTCTCCGCCATGCTCCACATGTAAGATCAAGTCTATTACTGATACATTGAGTCAACTGGTGCAATGTATTGCCACACCAAAAGATGAAGCTTTAACAGGCAATGTATAATATTTTTTTTTTTGCCGGCAGGTGCACTATCACTACCAATGCACTAATCATCTGAAGCTGATAGTTCCATAGTTTTGCATGACAAATGACGATTGCGTCTCACACCCGACCCGCCACACCTATTTCCGAATACCATACGGCCATCACAGCTGGACTCGGCGTGCCGTCATCGCATCCTCAGCCCGGGGGCAAGGCGCCCGCTGGCCCGCTATTAATACCGCCGTGGCAGCGGCTGCGATTGCGTCACTCCGAGTCAGAGGTCAGCTGGCGAGCGGAGGACCGTGCCCGGGGGCAGACACGTTCACCCATCCTGTCCTCCGCCGACGGAGACGCAACAGTCGCCGCGCCGCTCACAGAAGTGACGTGCCGGAATAATACCAAACAAGGTGCGGAGGAGAAATTTGCGGCCCGGGTAAAAGCAAGCCACGAAACAGCCGTTAGAACAGCGGGAGTGGTCGTTTGACAGTCGGTGCGATTCATTTGGCCAATAAATCTGTGGATCATACCGCAGTGATTTTCAAGCTGTAATTCATACGGTGTGATAAGAATAATTAAAAACGATCCCAGCGAACAAAATAATGATCGTGAACAAAGTGAAGCGTTGGCAAGTGTCGGTACTAAATCATTGAGGCTGTAATTGAGCTTGGGTAAAAGCTTGAGTGCAATAGTAGTAGAGCCCTTTCCGACCGATGCCGTCTTTTACAAATTCTTATTAAACATTCTTAATAAACGTTCCTTTTATGTATAATTCGTTCGTTCGTTCGATAAATTTGTTTGATAGGTAAGTCATGCTACATAAAGCAGCTACATGAACTGATTTAATGCGAGGCTTTGACAAGACGATAAAAAATCGGCGCACTTATGCCAATAATCATGTCAATAAACATGCTTTCTTGGTGCACCCAGTTACATCTCTTTTTTTACTAAATCGTTATTGTGAACACATTGTTTCGATGGGTTTCAGTGATGCAAAATTTCGATGCAAGATTGTAAGACTGCTTGAAGACGAAGATCTTTTTACTTGCTCTTATATGGGCTTCCTCTGAAGATAGTTCCGCCGGCGGCTCTAGGTGCGGCCCCTCCTCCAAGCCTGTGCTGGCCTCATTATTCCTCACTGAAGGCGTTGGTTCCGGTCTATCCACTCTCACTTTCTGCTGTCCATTGACTGAGGAGGTGTCTGGGAGGCAGGACTGGCGAAAAGTCCCGCCCGCAGATTATGATGGAGCTGATCGACCGCTGACAGCTACCCACTTTGTTGCCCATTTGAATATGTATGTCACACCTATTTATTGGAAGTTCTTGCAATGAGATTACACACCTGATCGGTGATGCATGCATCTATACGCAG